ATACGCATACAACCAAAGGCATAAAACCTGGAAGAACTCGGAAAGGGTGCTAAGCAGGTGCTAAACATCCTGACAGGTGACGTCTTTTTCTTGGCAGGCATGTTTCAACCTCACCAATGTACCTCACTTCCGCGACTGCCAACGCGCTTCTGCAGCTTTTGACATCTGAGGATACCATGATCGAAGATTGGATCAACCGACAAGACGAGCTGGAAGAAGGCGTTTTCAAACGGCTCGATGAGGTTAGTGAGCCACTGGACCAAATGATTTTGTTTTGGGCTGGTGGGCCGTAGGCCGTAGAGGGAGGCAGTAGCTAGAGGTAGCTAATTGGGAGCTAGCAGCTTAATTAATTACTTAAGCTTCTAGTATGGACGCAGGATAGCTCACACCTCTTCAAGGAAGCTCCCGCTAAAACGGCGGGGGGGGAGCTTCCTTGAAGAAGCGCTCGCACTAATGATTTGGTTCCTAGATCTTTAGGGAAACTTAACTGAAGGGCTCTTTGTCGTTTCTAAGTGATGTGGCAACCACCTGCCAGTGTGGAAGGGTTGGGGACACTGTCATCGAAGAACCTGCGTTTCAGCTGGTTTTCTTCAACCGAGGGCGTGTCAGACCCCAACCCTGGGTTTTCATCAGTACTTATACCCTCCAAGTCCTCAAGCTCAGCCAAAGATATTCCAGGATTAACGAACCAAACGAGGACAACAACAAGTTTCTTCTCAAGTGGCGAAGATCTCCGACTTTGTCTTAAGCTGATCTAACTTACCTAAGACCTATCATTTGACTGGGCTTTCTTGGAATTTGATTGGATTTGACCCCCCTTCGTTGTTCGCTTCTGTCCAAGCTTCTTTGTTCGCCGCTGCTTGAAGCACCGAGGCAGATCTACAGTCTCTACGAGCCTTGGTTGGAACATCCAGGGCTCTCTCGAGAGGGTCGAAGATCTGGTCGAAGCGGGTCCTTGCTTCGACCTTTTGCGGGTTCGCAGAACCGAAAGGGTCAAGGCATCCGTTTCACATCCTTTCACTGGTTTCGGCATCGGCATCCTTCACTGTTTCGGAGGGTGCGGCTTCGTCCCGCAGTGCGGCACGGCAGAACGTTGCGGCACGACCAGAGACTACGACAGAGTCTACGAGCATGTGTGTTGGACGACACCTTTGTGATGTTTTGAACGTTGTAGGAGACAGTGCTGGTAGCGAAGGACTTGCCGTGGATGACATGTGCGTTCTCTCACCTGCGAGAGAGGTTTTTAGCCATGTTTGTGGTGCATCTCTTTGGAACCCCCATATGTAGACAGGTATCAAAGAGACGTACGCACTGTTGCACACTACCGATACTTGACATGCTACCATACTCGCCCCCGAAACCAATCTTTCATGTCAATAATAGGATCTATTAGGATCCATTAGGATCTATGAGGTTGAAGTCGCTTCGATGTGCTTTCGAACTTGTTGCTTCCTATCCCGACTTTGTGATTTCGTTGTTGAAGCAAATCACACCTATATTACTCGTATTACTGTATATAGGCCTTTCTTCATTTTCTTTTTTCTTTGTTTCCAATAGCGATGGCCTCCATCCTACCAGCGACGATGGCCTCCAACATAAAAGGAAAACTATCATAAATTATCTACAGCGTTAGAGGCATGTGCAAGTGTTTTGCACAGCTTCCAAGTTCACAGCACCCAAGTGGTATGTGGTACTTTCAGCACTTGTTCCCAGGAAATGATGCAGGAGCAGCAGGTGCCTGGACCTGGCGGGGTGGGACAGGAACCACTTCGGTATGGACATCCACGGAGCTGGTGAAGCCTAAACGGACCGATCGGTTCAACCGAAGGTAGGGGGGTCTTTCTTGTCCTACACGAAAGACTGCCACGAGACTACCAGATTCCAAGAACTCATGGCGAACTCATATGGCGGCGGAATCGGTGGTCAGAGACAATGTGTTTGGGGGTCGGAGAGGATGGCCACTTGGTGTGAAGACTTCAGACTAAAGATTGGGTGTACTTGACACTGTTGCAATGTCATTAAACCATGAAAACCTTGTTCTAATGGAGGCTATAAGCAGATCAGCCAATGATAAGCCCACGATGTTGCTGCCTTGTTGCAAGCAGAGTCTTTATTGTTTTGTTGTGACAGGGACCGTGGAATTCTTCCCTGGACTCTGGACCGTGGAATTCTTCCTTGGAACAGGACCTTTTGCAGCAGCAATTGGTGCCGCAGAAGGAAACTCCTGAAGCTCCTCTGGAGCAGAGGCGCGTCATCCGTGAGCGGCCCGCAGCTGTGGAGCAGTCGCCGGCTGTATTGGACTAGGAGCAAGGACGCTACTAGGGGCTCCTGGCATCACTACTAGGAGCAAGAAGCTACTAGTAGCTCCTGGCATTACCTGGCACAAAACCTGTAAGCACTGGTCTTGTGGAGGAACATGTTCTTCCTACGGTCTATTTCCAGGTGAACATGTCAGTCTGCGACGGTGTATTGTTCCATGAGCTTCCTCAAAACTCCCAATCAAGTCCCCGGAACTATATATCTGGCCTGAGGCGCAGATCTCACTCGCCGTTCAGCCCAGCATTGCAACAAATTTTTGGGGCCCAAGGAATGTGGATCGAGGCATTCAACCGATCGATGACCTTTATTGATTGCCGATGTGAGGTATGATGAACGGCATGATTTCCTCAAAAAGGAGCAAGGTTTTCTTATGTTTTCTTCACACTGAAGTCAGTGCAACCTGCATTTTATTTGGACCAATATTCTGCTACGACAAATTCACGCGAGTCCGTTCCAATCGTTTATGTATCCCACTTATCCTCTCTATGGATGCCCATGAACCCAATCAAATGACGTTCCAAATTGGGATGTCCGGCATCGCCCGTCCCCCCCCAATAAAGCGTTGCAAGCGGTCCATCTCGGTGAAAGGGCAGGTCCTAGATCCGATGAAACCGGGTGTTTTAAGGGTCCGAAACCTGGGTCCCTGGCCTCTTTCAGATCGTTGCCATCTTCAGAGCACTTCGGCCACTGGGAAGAAAGAGTGGGACGAGCGGGACTGGGGTTGTGGGATGAGACTGGTGGAGTTGAACATGTTGAACTCCCCTGGATGTCAAGGAGCTAGGAAGACAAGAATGGACCAGTGGCGGCACCACGTTCGGGATTCAACCTCAGGGGCTCTCGAGATTCCAATCATGTCTTGGCAGTCCTCGCACCTTTTGTGGCTGGAAATCTCATGTGTCAATTGATCAGAGAAAAGCGCACCGCCTTGTGCCAACCAGTAGCAAGAACCAACAAGTAACAAGTGCATCACTACTAGTAACAAGGGCATTACTACTAGTAGCAAGAAGCTGCTCGTAGAAAAGTGCATCGCTACTAGTAGCAAAAAGCTACTAGTAGCCAAGTGCATTACTACTAGTAACAAGAAGCCACTAGTAGCTAACTGCATCATCCAACTTGTCAATCGAGACTTCATATGCTGAGAAATGCTGAGAAGTTGAACCTGCCAAGCCAGGTGGTCCAAACGGCCGTCCATGGTTGCTTCGAAAGCAGATTGGCCCATAGGATGAACAGTGACCGTGGATCAAAACCTGGAGCTCCAAACCCTGTGGGTTGACCTGTCTGCAAATCTATGAAGCTCAAAAAAACTAGCGTTTCCCTGCTTTGACCCACGAGCTGAACCTCAGTTCTTGTCGATGAAATCAATCACCTCACGGCCGAGATCTCTTTCGGACCACGCCGAAGATCCCGAAGAAGCCGGATCTGCAGCTGCGGGATGAGATGCCCAGCTATGAATGACGCCCGGTCGTCCGCCGGCGCGTCCGTGTTTGCTGGTTCGTCCGCGACTCCGCCCGCTGTGGTCGTGGAGGCCCCACGGTCCTCCAGATCGGCAAAGGTCAAGACCTGGCCATGCTCAGTCGTTGGGAATCCCCCCGATCCAGATCCACCGAAGAAAGAATGAGGGGAAGGTGGGCAGAGAAGAAGCCATCGTAGAAGCTGTATGAAGATTGTTGAATTGAGGGTTCTTTCTGACATCAGAGTACTCCACTGAAAGATGTGCGACCTACTCCATCTCAATTCTGATGTGGGGAACTCGACCTGGTTAAGTGGGAGGTTGGGGATGATGGCGGAGAGAGATCAAACTAACAAATCATCCCAAATCTACAGGAGCAAAAATGACATCCACATGGTCAGCCTAGATCAGCCTTGCCACCATAGTTTCAACGTGTTTCAACTCAATGTATGACTCAGGCAGCGGAGCTAGTATCAGTATCTGGTGGTTGGATCACGGGGAACTCTCCGCCAAAGGGCGGGGAGAGAAGTTTTAGCAACCAACGCGAGTGGAGCAGCGTCAATGGATTGGGGCTGTAGGAGCCTCAGGTACGCCATGGGGTAAGTGTCAGGGACCTTTGACTGAAGAGTCGGACACATCATGTTCCTACTCAACCACTCGACCACTCAGTGGTTCAGAAGTCCAGGTCCATTTTCCCATGGCATCTCCGTACTCTCTCAGACCATGTCTCATCCTGGACCCAGGGCCGCCAGGGCCGGACAAGCACTCATTGCAGTCGAAGAAGACGAGACGGTTGGTGTGTTCTACAGCGTTTCGCTTGGTGGACCAAGCACCAAACAATGCGTTCTGGGTCTGGACGGTTTTAATCTCCAGTGCACCAAAGGTGTCAAAAACATCGAGTTGCGTGCCAGCGCTTTCCGAATGGTACGAGCGTTTGCCCGATCGGTCGCAGGTGCTACAACACGAGAACATGCTCCCATCAGCCATTTGTGGAGTATAACGCATGGGTTGCCCACCTCAGACAGGAGGGTTCCAAAGCCTTGTGTCGCAACGTGCCAGAAAATGCTCTGGTGGGGGGAGCCCTGAATCTTTTGGAAGCTCTTTTGCCATTTTGGGCGAGATTCCAAGCACCGTTCGAGAATCAATGGTCTGAGGGCGCCTTTTCTGCTTCGATGAGGGCGCCCGGTCGATCGTCGGTGTTCGAAAGCCGGATGGCACTCTGTGTTATCAGGGAGCTCAGCAGCACTTTGCCTACGTCCACACGCAAGGGACCTGAGTGGCTGGGAGTGGCTGGGAGTGGCCAAGGGCTGAAGTGGCTGATCAGAGCCGACCGTGCAAGGCAGTAGGTTTCGGGGCCGATGTGACGTGTGGGGCCATAGGTCTCGCCACATCCGTATCTACAGGAGCCATCAGGAGCCTGTCTTGTTGGAAATCCTGCTGTTGACTACTATCTACAGGACAGTTGTATCTTTTTTGGAATGACATGCTTTCGAGGGTGGCATCATCGCCCTTTCATCGCCCATCGGACGCAAGGGTTCCATGTGAGGGTTCCATGCGGAGCTGCCCGACAGGGTGGCTCCCAGCAGATATAGTCAAGGGATTCGAGGGCTTGCAAGGGATTCGAGGCTCGGCTCGAGGATTGGATTTACTATATATATATATATAGACAATGATTCACCCAACAAACACTCGGGTGCAACAGGGTCTTTGGAATCCGCCTTGTTCTCAGGCATTTGTTTTACATTTTCTTGGAGCTGGTGAAGAACGCAGCACGTGCATCAATCGAGCCGCTCGATGAGCAAATAGGAGCTTGGAGAGCAGTATCTTTGGTTGGCCAGAGCGTTGCTGCTTAGATGTTGATGTACAAATTATATACATCAAATTATTCTGTATGGATCATGTGCCCACCGAAGATGCCTGTCCAAATATCATCGCTGTGGCTAAACGGCACAAGTAGCCAGATAGAAGGTTATGTACAACCCATGCTGTTGTCAAAGGATCATGAAGACCCAATGTGGCCTCCTGGGCGGTTTTCTTTTACTTACTTTTTATAATGTTTCTTCAGAACCACACCCTGGTGGTAGGAAGTTCCAACCCTGCAAAGCCAAAGTGAAACAGGTCACCCAGTGTCTCTGTGGCACTGCGTGGCACTACCCTTCAGACTTCTCAGATGACGCAGACCGTTCCCTCTCAGGCGGGCTCAGTTAGAAGGTCTGCTGGAAGATACCTTGACGCCCGAGAACCCTGGCTGGTGCCCCAGAGTGCTGTTGAAAGTGACATTGCAGGTATCCGCAGATGTCAATTTGGACCGTTTACTCTCAAGTTTAGACTCTAAAGATTGTCCCAACTCTTTTCTTCCAGATTTTTGAACAAGGGCATCGCTACTAGTAACAAGGGCATTGCTACTATAGTAGCAAGAAGCTACTACTAGCTCCTGGCATTACTACTAGGAACAAGGACGCTACTAGTAACAAAGGGCATCGCTACTAGGAGCAAGAATGCTCTGTGATCGAAGGTGAGATCAGAGGAGAGATACCGCCGATGAGGGTCACAGTGCCTGAGGACGGGCTGGTGGATCTGATATCTGATGTGTTGGGCTTAAGCTGGTCTAGGTCCTAGGTGACCTGATAGTGGATCAAGGGGCCAGCCAAGCTGCGCGGACATCCGCTCCCACTATATGGTGTTCAGAACAGACTTTCATGGACTTAAACGAGTTTGAACAGCGTTTTCTTGGTGAATGGGGGAGCACCCTGTCTCACTGAAGAGGCACAAGAACCGTCCAGAGCGTTTCGCCTCATTCTTTGGTCTTTGCCTAATCGGCTGCGCCAGCGCGAAAGCGGGTTGCACAGCTGCCCTGGAGGATCAGAAGATCTGGGACCACGAGAGGTCAGTGAAGCTGGCTGACCATGGTACTGGTGTGGTCTCCCAGTGAGAGTCGAACAAGTCTTGGTGATGGGCGAAGAGAGGATGAGCGCGTGGAGAGGGCGGTTTTTGAGGCCACTTGAAGCGGGAAGATTTGGATGGGCAAAGATGATCATGGCAAAGTCTGCTGAGGATTTGGTCACATTTTCTCCATCTACAGGAGGGACGATGCACATCCAAGCATTGGTGTGTCACTTGAGAACCCCCAACCACCGGTTTCAAGCGAAGATGGATAACGAGTTGCCCTGGCAAGGCATGAACCGGCGGGTGCTCGGCAAGGCGTGCATCACTTGACGGCCAATGAGGAACTTGCAGGACATTGGCATGGTTCTGTTCTTGACTCACTTGAGATGGGATATGAGCCTTGCATAGCTCTGCAAAATCATGTGGACATAATTGGACATACATATGTAGAACGATATAACGGTATAAATAATTCAACTTGCGATGGATACATGCATAGTCTTTGCAAGCCAACACTACTCATTTTGACTGCCATGGGGCCTTTTTTCTGTGTAGATAACTTTGAGTAGGACAACTCTGCGACCTTTTTTTGCTTCGCGGTAGGCATTTTCCTACTTCTACTCCTCGGTGAAAGCCCGACCCACCATTGCTGCAGAGGTGTCTTCGTTCGTTGTTTTTTTTCAGTGCGGATGGTCGGCACGGTCCCACACATGATCTTGATGTTTGGTTGCAAGTCTGGTGAATTGGACCACTTCAGATTTCAGGGGCAACTTCGACCGACAACGGTGTATCGTGAGACATTTGTAGGGATGTTCACTGATCGCATAGCTGGGTTCCTTACCTTCAACATGCACGTGTTGGCCTCGCTCATAGACATGATATGACATGATTTACCAAACAAATAAACCATGTTTCAAACAAATTTGATGATTCACGATTAGGTTGGAGACCATCGCTCTGAGGATATTTCAAACAATTCGATGTTTGACGACCGAAGTTCAAAGGCCGAACGCCGTCAGAACCGGCAAGCTACGAACGGAGCAAGAACGCTACGTACTACTAGCCTGGGAGCAAGAAGCTAGTTCGATGTGCCACGGAGCAAGCTACTAGTTAGTTGTCTTTGGCAAGGTCAGTGATTTTGACCGCCGCATGCCCCTGGCGGGCTTCGGCTTTGGCCTACCGTGGGAGCCCTCAAAAGGGCAGTGGGTTGGGGTTTCTGCGGCTCTTTGGGGTCCCCAAATGTAGTTTGGAACTGTTGATGTTGAGAGCAATTCTTTCATCAACAGTATCAAGATGCATCAAGTACCAAGCGCTTCTTCAACCAAAGCACTCTGAGAAGAAATGGCGGAGCAGATGTGGGCACAGGTGCAATAGGAGTCCATCACAGCCCCATCACTTGTTGCTGTGGCTCCGCTCGACGTTTTGGACTCTGATCCTGTTACAGTAATTTGTGAGTTGTTCTCAGAGATCATTTTTTTTATCCAAGACCAAGAACAAACTGAGTTCCATATACCAATTCAGATCTACCAACTAAGAACTAACTGGTTCCAATGCACCCCACCCAAGAAAACACCTCGTATCGCACCAAGAACCCGATCCCAAACCGCTGTGCGAACAGCGATCCTTCACCGATTGAGGATTAGTCGAGTAATGGCTCGCTATTTCGCTGGCAACATCGACGTGAACTCGATCCCTGGACAGGCGGCCGTCGTTTAAAAATCATCGGCGATGGAAGGGAAAGAACACATACAACAACATCACGGGCCAATTTCATGGACAAGCTATGACTAGCCCACTGTTTTGTGTTGAAAGGCACACTTGGGTGGATCCAGTCATGATCATCGCTGTGACTTGGTTCATGATGGTTCATGCATTTGGGGGGGAGTCTCCATGGTTCCTGAGTTGCAGCATGGCCCACGACCCGTGTGCAGGGCACAGATGTCTACGTCTATCTGTGATGGGCGCAGCAAACCCTTTCGCGATCTGCGGAGAAATGGTGATGGTTTGGAAGCTATCTATGGTGGGATGGGGGACATGGCTAGATCATTCCTTTTTCTCCCAGGCAAGATGGGGTTTGCATGATAGTATATATATATATATATTATATAGATTGTAGCCGTGTGCATGCAGTTTGCAGTTCTTTGACGATTCCCTGGCATCATGGCGGCTCTTACCTTCTTGCAATGTCTGAGCTCAAGCACGCTTTGTGTGGCCGAAATCCATTTCATCATTAGCACCGACTTCTAACTCCGACAGGGTGCAAAACGGGATCAATTGCGCGCTTTGTGTAGCTGAATTCCAGCGGCAGATGTTCGGAGGACTCACCTGTGTGGCCACACTTTGCAGGGAATGAATGAGCCGCTGGCCTGGAGTCCCAGATTTGGTGTGGTGTGGAAAAGAGCCTAGCTCAGAGGCAGGTTTACATTTCGCGCTGTGGTTGATCCTCGTTTGTTTCGAGCAGACTGTTTGGTTCTGCAGGAATCTTGGCACAAGCTTCCGAGATCGTAGTGAATCTTTAGTAGCGACAAGCTGGATCTACTTGGCCTACATCCAAGTCCACCAAATTGGGGGGTGGGAATGTTTTCCAGGCTGTCCACCTTGGCAAGAGTCCAAGATCCATAGCGATTGAGAAACCTTGAAAAGACAGTCTTCATGTTGAACGTCTCCTCGATTTTTCTGCAAGCCAGCCCATCCCGACGTGCCATCGGGTGCCAAAGGGGTGTGCCGTGGGGCGTTCAAGGAGAAGCGGAAACTATGGACCATCATGCTGAACACCTTGAAAAGGCCCCGCTTGGAGGAGCGAAGCCGCCTGCGTCGGCGCAGCATTGTTCCACACCCGGGTTTCCACCCCGCCCAGAGCCGAGATGTCCAAGGCCAACGCAACACGAAGCACGGAACGAGGAAAGTGGTCGAGTGGGAACGTGAGGAAATATTTGGTAAGTGTATGTAAGTGTGTTTGTCTGATGTGTTTGATCGTCCTTCACACCTATAGTTGTTTGGATCCAAGTAACTCGGAAGCGCGGTTTCTTTCTTGTGCGCCTCGAAACTAGGGCTGACTAAGGTGGCTGCAAAGTCTCTAGGTTGGCTTCGAAGTCCATCCAACGACTTGAATATAGTATTGAATATAGCACATACAATATTTGATTACTCTTTTCTACATTTTTCTACGTCTAAGCGTACAACCAATAGGCATATATGGAAAACACATACAGCATATATATGGTACCAAACGGATCCCCCTATTCCTTTGACCGGACCTGACCTGGGACGCTAAAGGAGACCGAGACCGAGACGGAGCGCCTGGGGTGCATCCGCAGTGCAGCCAAAGTCGCCGGGGGCACAGCACGACGTCGACTTCGAATTGGCCGGTCGAGGTCGCACGACGTTCGAAGTGGATGTGAACGGTCTGTTGTGTTTTTCCCGAAAGCATTGCGAAGGGTTCTTCCGGAAAATCCCTTGAACACTGACACTTCGACACTTACACTTACACACTGACACTTCCACCACACTTGCACTACAACATGAACGCTATACGTACCCCAGTGTAAGTGGAAGAGCGAAAGCATCCAAGTGCAAAGTATGCAAGTGTCAAGGTATGCAAGTGTAATGATGCAAGCGCGATGATGAGTATGCAAGCATGCAATGAGTATGCAAGCATGCAATGAGTATGCAAGCATGCACTGAGTAGGCAAGTGTGAGCAGGGAAAAAAAAACTAGCACGGGAGATGTCCTAATGATGAGCATGGAAAACTAGCACGGGAGATGTCCTAATGAAAAACATTTCCCCACTTTATAAATTCTCTCTTAAAGGCGGAGGGTGGGACGAACAGCGTCAACCGAAAGTGCTACCCTCTGCGGAGATCGTGCGTGTCGAGTGCGCGAAATGCAGGCGAGAGTGCGATTTGCCGGCTGCGCGCGCAACCCTCTGCGGAGATCGTGCGTGTCGAGTGCGCGAAATGCTGGCGAGAGTGCGATTGAGTCTGTGCGCGCGCAACCCTCTGCGGAGATCGTGCGTGTCGAGCGCGCGAAACGCAGGCGAGAGCGCGGTGGGGTGTGTGCGCGCGCAACCCTCTGCGGAGATCGGGCGCGTCGAGCGCGCGAGAGGCAGGCGAGAGGTGTACTTTGAAAACTTTAGTACGCGGAGTAGCCGGGGACCTGGAAGATGAGAACTGGCGACAGGGTAGTGCAACCGTAGTACGCGGAGTAGCCGGCGAGCTGGAAGCTGAGAACTGGCGACTTTGTAGTACAACTTTAGTACGCGGAGGAATCTGTGGAGCTGGAAGCTGAGAACTGGCGACTTTGTAGTACAACTTTAGTACGCGGAGTAGCTGGGGAGTGGGAAGATGAGAACTGGCGACTACAACTTGAGTCCGCGGAGTGTCTGGCGAGTTGGAAGATGAGAACTGGTGACTTTGTAGCTGGGTAGATGAGAACTGGCGACGTGGTAGTACAACTTTAGTACGCGGAGTATCTGGGGAGTGGGAAGATGAGAACTGGTGACTCGGTAGTACAATGACTTGGTAGTACAACTTCGTTCATCTCCTCTGACAGGTCACTGCTTCGAGACACTTCTGGCGTACCTGCCTCGGCACTTTTCTGTCCTCATTCCGGTTCGTTTTTTTTCCGTGAGCTTTTCTTGGCGCCGTGCACGCTGCTGCTTCTCCCCTTACCAGCAGCCCAAATGCTCACGACGATGAGCTGGGCTGTCACCGCTTGGCCGCCGGTGGGGGGGTTTGGGAGGCCGCATCACACACAGACACCCACACACTGCCTCAACTTACACGAACACACACATACGCAGACTCATTTCCACACGGACATAGATACACGCACAGAAGCCCACACACTACCTCAACTCACTCGACTTCACACTTCACACTGCACACTTAACAGATAACTCGCACTCTGACTTCCTACGTGATGAAAAATGCTTTCGGGCCACTCGTTGTCTAGTTTTTTCAGTGTAGGAAAGGTTCACCATTGCCTGCTCACAGGCATCCAAGGATGCCCAAGTTCAACCATTGACCGAATGTATGTGTTTTGTGGATCACCCAAACTATCGATGAACAATGGATGTGCTTTTGGACTTGATAGACCTCTTTGTGGACTAAAACGATCTTATACCGAAATCTGATACCATGGAAAAAACGCACACGGCACGTCTCTCGATGCACGCGGCGCAGGTCGCTGTGCCCGGAGGTGCCCATGATACGGTCTTTCGGGGCCAAGCTCTGCAGACGACTTAGCGCCGAGACCGGAAGAACCCGGTCGCCGCAGTTTTTTGTCCCGCCACCGAGCGAGCTTCGGGGGTTTGGAATCCGCCCGGTGAGTGCGGTTTCCTTTTCAGAGGTGTTTCTGGAGTTGCTGTTTGTGTTGCGAGATCCACAGGATTTGGCCACGAGGATGGGCCCAATACAACTCGGGACAACTGGAGAACGGTGAAGCTGATTTCAACACGGATCAGCACGTGCATGCGCATGCTAAGTGTGTCATGTTGAGTCAGGCTTTGTGTGGCCAAAGCACTAGCAGCAGAGGAGGCCTGGAAACGAGATCATAAAGGCCGCAAGGCACTGATGGATGCAACAATCTTCATCTTGCGATTGAACAATTATGTTCGACTAGAGCGGTTTAAACTTCGGCAGCGATGACTGATGCATGGGCTACTGTATCATCTACAGGAATCTGTAATATAAAGCTATATAATTATTCATGTCTAAAGCATGCATACCCGTTTAGCTTGTGAACTTGCACCGCGAAAGGTGGGTGATCCTTTGTACGCCTTGGAAGATAGCCTTCAACTCAAGGGAGCTGAAAGGAGCGCGTCGCTGGGTGCGTCGCGAACCAGGATGAACCCGGAGAGGCAGGAGACCGCTAGTCGTTCAAAACACATTTATAATACAAATACTAAATATATCTAAATATAAAAAGGATGTCTATCAAGACCCACTAGCCATGCAATTTAAACCCGCACCTTAGGCAGTCCGTTCTTGGTGGGCTTGTGGGTCCCGCTCCGCTCCCGGGTTCGACCAAATGCGATTCGAGGCGGTGGCCAAACCCACCCGGGACCCGGTCAAACCCACTCTGTCTGAGGCTTCCATCAAATCCTGATGGCTCATCCGTTGGAGGACTCAGTTCTTCTTCGGGCGACCCGTGTTTTGCTCTTCGTCGAGCAAAACGTCGTTGTTTCCATGTCGAAGCAAAGAAGGCGGCGAAGACTCCGACCCACGACTCTAACACCAAACCCGACTGACAGAGCTAACTGTACTGGAGAACTTTCTTTATCTACAGTATCCCTTTGGCTGCTTTCCACAAACCTTTTTCATGTGGCAGGCTTTCAGAAAGACAGCGAGGAAAACCTGAGCGCTGCCGAACTGAGGCTGCCGGCCTTGGCAAGGCTAATGCCTGCGAAGTTGCAGGCAGGAATCTGACAACCAATGGATCTACCGTAGATCAATGCACTGCAGACGAGAGATAGACACCTTTCTGGCCCCCTCCAATTGCTTGGCAGTTGCTAGACCAGTATTTGTCGTCGGGGGGGATGCATGGTTTAAGGCCGTTTAGTAGCTGAGCTGCTTAGCTCGCGACGGAATCTTTAGGTTCTTTCGTGACCTTTCCCTTGAGACCCACGCCCAGAAGGGCTGGGATTACGAACGGAGTTTTGGGAGGGGTGAGAATTAGCAGTTTCAGAAGCTTCTTGGCGGGAATGCCTTGCTTCTTGGTGGTCGTTGGTTGCATTAATTAGGATTTAGGATCCTAATGTGCCATGGGCCATCGTCATCATCATCATCATCATCATCATTGAAGAGCAAACTGAGACTCTTCTGAAGACAGGCTTCAACCCCCATATTAATATAAATAAACACTACTTGGCACTTGTAGTAGAGGAGTTTCCTCAACCGAATCCAATGCAGGCCATGTGGTCAGCGAGACCTTTGATTGATGCGATGGGCCTACTGCCTCAGAAGAGCTCCTCTGGTGTCCAAGGTCGACTTTTTTGGGTTTGGGCGTGAGAGAAGCATGGACATGGAAATACGATGAGAGGCCTGGATCATTGATCCTCATCACTCTGAAATAGGATGGAAAGGAAGCTGTGCATATTCCCGCATAGAGAATATCCATGAGTATCCCAATACAGGCATTGGAGTACGTGTCTTTCTGCGTGACCTCATTGAGGTCCCAACTTCGCCGACAGTTGTCATCGAGCTCTGCTGACCACCAGCCGCCGGGGATACGGAGATATGACAAAATCACGTGCGCAAGGACAGCCATCAGCCATTGAGACGGTGCGTGTGGGAAGAGGACCCATGTAGACTCCCAGATCTTACCCGTCACGGATTTTTTCAAACATATCCCTTTCCCAGACACTTCATGTCTCGAATATTCTAGAAGATATGTTTACATCAGGTGGTTTAGGGGGTCAATGCACAGTAGGCATAAATGTAGGCATGATTATCATATCCTTCCAGTCCCATTGGTCATGTTTGGCTTTATATAGACCCCCAATCACATAGAAAGAAGATGAAAGAAGAGTAGATCTCCACTAACCATGTAGAAACCATTTCTATCTATTTGGGGATCACTCCAAAAAACACCATCCCAACACCCATCCCATCCGCGCGGATCCGCGCGGAACCGCCATCGACCGTCCGCTCGAGGCCCCGAGGTTTGGTCCTCGGCCGCCCAGCTGCGGGCCTCGGCTCGGCTGCTGAGAGCGGCCGTGAGGCGCACCCCCCAACCGACGGAGGAACCTTCGAAAAGCCACAAGGGCTTTGGTTGAAAACGGTCCAAGACGTAGCACAGGTCAATTCGGTTCCATGTCACTTGGCGGTTTGGCCACCGGTTCGCCGTCCCCCACGGGTGCTGGCTCGACCCACGGTTGACCCTGTCGGATCGGAACAGGTCAGAGGGAAGGGAAGACAGAGAACACGTCCCAAAGACGTACATGGTTGATATGATGTATATTGTGTCTATATGTGTCGATCTATATGTGTCTATGTATCAATGTATATCAATATATATATATATATCAATGTATATTATCAATGTATATCATGTAGAAGACTCGGATGGCCAGAAAGCAATGACAAACAATTATCATGTAGAATGTATAGGATCATGTCGTACACTATATCATACGTACAGTATGTATTGGTATATATTGACTGTTGTATATAGGCCTACATTGACCGTCTAAACCATCTCAATGTAGGCATATATTCCAGACATGGAGTGTCCGACTGGGCCCTGACCTGGAGGCCTTCAAGCCCGGGTCTGCTGACAGCACTGGCGCAGCGGGGAAAGCTGGCATGTGCGATGCCAGAAGGCTTGGAGACAGAGACTGTGACAGCTGGGAGATAGAGACTGGATTCCAATCAATTCCGCATTCTAGTCTTGCTCTTTCGGATCTAATAGCATTTTTCTCTGGTAAGTTCTGTTCTTGGTTGTGAAGGGAATCAGGGCAGATTTGCTGACAAGTTCCCGTGTGTTCTGCTTCTTTGAGCAGAAAAAGAACCGTTTCCGTCACGAAAAATCTCCCCTTTGAGGATTGCAAAAAGGTCAGACCATTGACTATAGACTATGTCGCAGGGTCATTCTACTTTGAGACATCTGGTTATCGATCAAGCCCAGATGCACTCGATGAAGATCTTGCGGGAGAGGAAGCAGCAGGCTGAGAGTACACCAAAGCAGATAGGAGATGTCTGTAGTTGAAGTAGGGGGCTCCTGACTCAATGGTTTTGCTATGTTTTGGTTGATTTTCCTTCTTGAAGCTGCAAAAAACAAAGTAACCAAGGCCGAGCGCCAAGCTGCAGTGGAGATGTTGTTGGAACTCATGGATTGCAGCCACCTGAAGCTCGGTTCGAAAGCAGGTAAGTTTTTTTTTGTTGTTGCCTTGTGATGTTGGATGGCTATCCCTATATGGCTACACAAACAAGGCATGGATGGCCTCTCAGAAAAGAAGGAAAGGAACATCTTTCAACCTCAGAGGGTGCCACACAGAAATCATGGACTAAACAACACTGGTTGTGAAGAGTGTACTTGTTTTTTGCTTTGCACTTTTGGCAGTCCAGGGGTCATGAAAGTGTTTTTCTTTCAGAGGCTCTCAGGCTAATCTTCGGCCTGTCTACACAAAGCCACCTCAAGTTGCAACACCCTCGGGCCAATTTTCTGCTTGTCCTGAACCATTTCATCGCGTTGCCAGTCGGGTCAGGCGCGAGATGATAGTGGAGCTGATCGTGCAGGATGAGGTGCGGAAAGGAAGGAGCGAGAGAGGGTGACGGACCCTGAGAGGTTGATGAAAAGCGCCAGCTTTTTTGGGAGAACTCGCTGGTGGCGTTTTCGAGGTTGGCCGGTTCTTGTGACAAGTCAAATTCACTTTCGGTTTTCCGGTTTCGATTTGTTCACCGTGCAAGCAGTGCGTTCGAACGCGAGGCTTTCAGAGAAGAGCCCAGCACTGCGAGAAGACTTGGGTTGGCTCGCCAAGGATCCACATGGTTCTTGGGATCCTTTGCCTCCTTCCCAGAAGGATCCAAAAGGCATTGCCTTTATGCTGCACGCAGCTTCATGATCTGACTATGAACAGGGCTCAAACTGAAGCTGCTGCCGTTTTCTTCGAGATTTTTTTGACGTGTGCTCTTGAAGGGACTTAGCGGCAGGGACATACCACCCAGAGAGCCTGAGGTTTGTATCTTTTTTGTCGACTTGGTATGAAGACAGTTACATGAAAAGTGTAGTACCCCACATCTCACCACTCACCCGGTTCTGTGTGGTGCGTCCGACGGACACGGTCCACACCGCATCACTCCACATGCCATCGCCGTCGTCGTGGTGTTCGTCCTCCAAGGGAAGTCAAAGAGCTCCCCCTCCGGGCCAAGGCGATGGGGGTCAAAGGGGCGGATGTCTTTGGCTTGGGAAGTGGGTTCCTGAATGATGTCCCCTCATTCATTGATGTGAAGCTACTAGGCTTGGATGCAAGAGCCTGAGCTTTGATGATTTGATTCCTAATGGTTCCTGGATTCTGGGAGAAACTAGGATAAACATGGATAAAATAGGTGCATTATTATGTTGCTTCTCCAGGTTTATAGGTTTGAACATGCATTTCATCTCCTTTTCCACTCCCAAAACATCCTTTCACGTGAGGCTAGGTCTGTGGATCGTCACCCTACCCCTTCAGATTGAGAGACCGCTTCCAATCAGCCGAAAAAAAGTCACGACCGCTCTTTCAGGCCTACGATGACTGTGGGGGCCACTCGGCACTGCCCGTCAGCTCCGTCGGCCTGTGCGCCACAGCGCAGGGCGCACGCTGCCGGAGTTCGGCGGAGTTCAGCGGTGTGACTGTCGCGTTCAGACAGAACAACATGTTGGCTCCGCCCAATGATAAGACGCAGGGCCAGGGGTATACAGAATGTGAACACTTCACTTCATATTGTCCGGTCCGGTCCCATTTCCTGTATGTTATTATGTCAAACTATGTATTTCACACCATAGAAAAACAATACGACACTGTTATTTCTTCCATGCCTTTTCCATGGGGTTTTTGCTTTACGCCTCCAGCCGTACGTCAAGGTCGAGCCTCCACACCTCCGGATCCAAAGAGGCGAACCGGACGCGCTATGCGATGTGCTCGTAATGAGTAGCGTCCGATCGCTCCTAGTAGTAAGGCCAGGAGCCCCTGAAGTATGGCCTTCACACTGTTCTTTTCGGTCTTTGGTCCCACCATATTTCAGGGGTCACATCATTCTATATCATGAACACCGTTTGTGGCCATTTGGCAGCTGCTGGGACGTTTTTCTGTTTGACCTATGACAACTTTCAGGCCTGATGTTTTCCAAGTTGGTTCGTTCAGGTTGAACATCATGACCTCTTTGGCCGCTGGGACGTCGCGAGCGAAGCAACATCTGGAACTGCTACAAGGAGATGACAGATCCGCGCGGGAGAAATGGCAAAATCCTCCGAAACTGGCAGGCTTTGATGTCGCGCTTAGCAAGGGCTTTTGGAGAAATGAGGGTGACGTCCTCATGTACTCATACAGCTACTCTAGTCCCTGTTGGTACGTCCGGGATTGATTGAACTGAACCTGGGCTTTATCTCATGAGATGAATCCCGATTGGCATTCTAGCGCGACGAAGGCAAGCACCTCATCCAGTTCATGAATGGTTCTTATTTTGTACAGTAGGTAATTTCAAGCAAGACACAGCAGGCTTTGCAGCAGATGGGACCCTGTTTCTGCACTCGAAGCTCAGGACTGCTAAAGGATGACCAGGCTGACTCTTTGCAAGGCCAGCCTTGTGTCACGCGCGCGCGCACACACACACACACAGAGAGTCTACTGAGCACAAAGAAGATGTTTTGATGTCTTAAACATACTGTCGCTATATTCTGCTACTTGTGGGACTTCTGAATCCGACCCAGAATGACACTGACACATGGTGTAGATCTCGGGGGGCGGTCCCCAGGCACAGGAGCGTTTCGAAAGGGAATGTATTGGATTGTCAACACACCTCTGCGCCCTTCGTGAAACGGGCTGTTGCTTTGTGAAATGAAGGAATACACATACCACCAACTAAACTCAATTGCAGGAATTCCCAGGGCACCACTCAGTCATTTCTTGTAAGCAGCAGCCGGAAGGTAGAGACCCCCCAAAAATATGTATTGTATGTATAAACTGAACTATAAAATCGTAAAAAGCTGTTGGCCCAGAACTCTGTACTTGACTTTCCATGCATTTGCAGAGTCGGGCGGGCTACCAGACACCACGCTTGAAGAGGCTGTTGATGGACAGTTGGGAGGCCACCTTAAAGCCTTAGAGTTAGACGAGTTCCCACCGTTTTCTGGTCTATTTGGCGTATTACACCAGATGGAGAAGAAGTCTCCCAGCAACGGGAGGGGCTCAACTGATGGCTCCGCCCCGAGTCCGGTTGCTCAGGGTCTGGTAGCTGTCGCTGTAGCTGTCGCTGCGAGGTCTACGACAGCTACGACAGCTTGGGCTCGAGCAGCCAGGTCAGCCCCTCTTTTGATGTTCCGAAGATCGTTGGTGAGGTTCGAGCACAAACAGCTGACACATCAGCTCCCGAGTACTAGGCGTGCACCCTTTGAAGACTTGAATCAGCGATTTCAATTTAGTTTTATACTACTTGATATCCTTTATTCATTCACAGTGAGGAGAGCTAGCTGTTGATGACTTTGTTCCAGCCCTGGGTTCAGAAAGAGCCTGAATATCTTGATGAATCTTGAGTAGTTTTTGATGTTTTTGGAAGCTGCTAAAATATTGCTTTTCTTGAAGCGCCCACCCAAGAAGGCGTGAGCATGCGTGAGCGTTTTTCGGGTGGCCAGGATTTACTGAAGATGACATAAGACAGGCTGGGCTTCCGGAGAAGAAGAATGCTAACACCCTACGAGGGGAGGTGGAGAGTTAGCATTGATCATGCACATCATCGAATCATCATCATCATCATCATCATCATCATCATCATCATCATCATCATCAT